CCTGATTCGCTGACCGGGCAGCGAGATCCCCGTTTCTTTATCTGCATAGTGGCAAACAACACAGATTCAAGGCATATTAACAAGATCTCTTTTATTTGCCTAAAGCCTACAAGATTGCCTCTGTTGAGTCCTTGGGGTGTGAATGGTTCTTCCATATAGGCTCATTGCTATTAGTTTGATCAATGGAAACCAGACTTAACAGTCGCTTCTAATTAAGCATTTTTAATATTCTTAAGTCAGGAAGAACTGTCATTAGGGTGTCGACATGGTGCTTGAGATTGTTCACCATAGGAATTTATGTTTGAGATGGTTCACAATTTTTGGTAAACTCTTTGATCTCAGTTTGAGGAATAAAATCCAGAATTTCATTTTTTGGAGTTGGACTCTTAGCATCTGAACGAGTGACATCTGTGATTGTTTTAATTGATGAAACATTGATAGTAGTATGTAGTTTGTGTTTTAAATTGTGCAGATTTTTCGTAAGCATTGATAATAGTATGTAGTTTGTGTTTGAAATTAGGCTTTCTCCTCAACTTCACTGATTGGTCTTTAACTGTTTGAGAAGAATTTATTGATTGACCAGAAGAGTTGGCCAAAATGTTAAGTGATGCCAAAAAATCTTTATGGCCCGGATGCACCAAATACACACGATTATCTGCAATACTGAAGTAGTTTAATTTGAAGGCAAAGAATGGGTGGAGTGATAAGAGTTTTACAGCCTTACTTGAGATATTGAAAGACATTCTTCCAGATGGTAATGAATTGCCAACAAGTACATATGAGGCAAAAAAGGTCATGTGCCCAATAGGTATAGATTATCAAAAGATTCTTGTTGTGTTAATGACTGTATTTTGTTTCAAAATGAATATGAAGGGTTACAGGCATGTCCTAAATGTAAGGCTTCTCGTTATAACAAAAAGAAGAATTTTGATGATGATTTAGTAACAAATGGGTCACCTGCCTAAGTCTTGTGGTAATTGCCAATTATTCAAAGATTTAAGCGCATGTTTGCTAATCCAACTGATGCAGAAAATCTTATATGGCATGCAGAACAACGTTGTTGTGATGGGAAGCTTAAACACCCAGCCGATTCACCTCAGTGGAAATATATTAATGAGTCATTTCCTGAATTTGGAAATGAGCCAAGAAATATTGGACTTGGGCTATGTACAGATGGAATAAACCCGCATGGCAACTTGAGTAGCAAACACAGCTCATGGCCTGTTTTGTTGGTTATTTATTATCTGCCTCCCGCATTGTTCATGAAATGTAAATACATAATGTTGTGCTTAATGATTTCGGGGCCAAAGCAACCATGGAATGATATAGATGTCTTTCTAGCACCCATGATCGAAGATTTGAAAAAAATGTGGAATGAAGCTGAGATGGTCTTTGATGCTTTTCCTAGAGAAACCTTTAAACTGAGGGCCATGATATTTTGCACTATTAATGATTTTCCAGCAGCTTATGGGAATTTATCTGGATATTCTGTTAAAGGACACAATGCATGCCCTATATGCTTAGATGGTACGTGTTATCACCAACTTCAGCATGGAAGGAAAACAATTTACATGGGTCATCAAAGGTTTCTTAATAGAACACACCCTTATCGGAGACATAAGAAGAATTTCAATGGATTACAAGAGTTTAGTGATGTTCCCAAACCACTAACCAGAGATGAAGTGTATGAACAAGTTAAGAATATAAATGTCACATTCGGAAAGACACAAAAGCCATTGCAGAAAAGCACCTGGAAGAAGAAATCTATATTTTTTGATCTTCCTTATTGGACGTTTTTATTTGTGCGACATAGTATTAACGTGATGCACGTTGAGAAAAATGTGTGTGATTGTCTTATTGGTACTCTTTTAGATATAAAAGGTAAGACTAAAGATGGACTTAATGCGAGGCTGGATTTGGTGCAGATGGGTTTACGAGCTGAATTAGCTAGCTCCTGAGTCTAGGGGAAAGAGAACGTATTTGCCTAATGCACAACACACTTTGTGTAGAATGGAGAAAAAAAAGTTTTTGCGAGTGTTAAAAAATTGTGAAAGTGCCACAGTGGTATTCTTCAAACATCAAATCACTTGTGAATCTTAAAGATCTAACGTTGATTGGATTTAAGTCTCATGACTGTCATGTATTTATGCAACGTTGATTGGATTTAAGTCTCATGACTGTCATGTACTTATGCAACAAATTGTTACAACAAATTGAGACACACTATTACAAGGTTGTGTTTCTTTTTTAATACAATATGTGCAAAAATTATTGATCCTAATGAACTTGATGCTTTGGAGAATGAAATTATTGTGACATTGTGTCAGCTAGAGATGTACTTTCCTCCTTCCTTTTTTGATATCATGGTGCATTTAATGGTTCATTTGGTGAGAGAGATTAGATTATGCGGCCCTGCTTATATGAGGATATGGCCTTAGCTAGGAACCTTTGGAGAACTAGGATTAGAGTAGCTGGATATGAGCTCGGTACTGTTGAGGTTGTTTGTAGTGTGTTGTGTTTGTTTGGAATCTTTTGCTATTGCTTGTACTTGTTGCTTGTACTTGGTGCTTTACCCGTGCTATGCTGTGTCCTTCCATATTTTTGTGCAGGTTGAGCCGGGGGCCTCTTGGAAACAGCCTCCCTACTTCCGAGTAGGGGCAAGGTCTGCGTACACACACCCTCCCCAGACCCTACTGTAGTGGGATTCAACTGGGTTGTTGTTGTTGTTGTTGAGCGTTTCATGAAAATTTTGAAGGGATATGTGAGGAACCGATATAGGCCAGAAGCATACATTGTTGCAAACTATATTTCAGAAGAGGTTATTGATTTCTGTAGTGATTACTTGAAAGGTATAGAAGTAGCCGGACTTCCAAAGTATCGACATGAGACTAGAAGTGAAGGGAAAGGTACTCGTGGGTTGGAAGTTTTAACTTTAAATCGGGAAGATATTTATCAAGCTAATCTCTACATCTTAAATAACACACCTGAGATAGAACCATTTTTAAATATGCACAAAGACATAGTGAGGAAACAAAATCCACGAAAGTCTGATATGTGGGTTCTAGCAGAACATAATCGTTCCTTTCCTGATTGGTTTGCAAATAAAGTTCTCTGTAAATTCGTTGGTTAGCTGCCGGCCTGAAGTTACAAGTTTGGGGTTACACAAGATACGACATTAATGGGTTTTCATTCTACACAAAGTCAAAGGATGAGAAGAGTAGTGTACACAATAGTGGTGTGTCCGTGAGCAGTTAGGCAATGCACTTTAGTAGTTCAAAGGATAAAAATCCAATTTGGGTAGAATCAACATACTATGGGGTGATTGAAACACAAAGTCTTATCATAGACACCTTTTTATTTCGCCAAAATAATTTTGTTTATTTTTTCAAACACATTAAGGATGATTATTGAAGTTTTCAACACCATATATGTATTTGTAGAGTAAAAAGTATGCATAAAAATAAAAATATATGCTACCATTACATATATTTAACTTGATACATATGGTAATTAATTGAATTTATTGATAAAGTATCACCAATACATTAGAAAACTTAATATACTCAAAATCAACATGCTACACTTTGAACAATACAAAACAAAGACAAGTAAAACAAATACATGAGACAAGTTCATAATAGTATATAACACTGAACTTTAGTTGGGCACTTGAATCCGTGCATCGCACACACACACACAGATATATATATATATATATATATATATATATATATATATATATATATATGGGTTGGTTCCTGTGAGAATGGTGCTTGGTGAAAGAAATGAGAATAAGTGATGACCCGCAGATTTGATGCATCGAACGACTAGTAAAAAAGGTCCCCATTTAAGTAGTTGAAAATAATTAAAAAGGTATGTAATAATTGCACTGCAAGAAAATAGGAGTAACATGTTAGCGAAGGGCATTCTGGCAATATTAAGTATTGATTGATAGAGTGAACAAACGCATCCTCCGTTCTCACAAACGGTTATCCATAATTATTAGTGCAAAAAATTGCTCTTGGGTACTCCCTATTTTGAGAAAATAACTGCCGTGTACCTCACATTTTTAAAACTAACTACGGGGTACCCCAAAATATATAGAAACTTACTGATGAGGGCCACTCCGTCTATTCATCCGTCAAAGTGAATGAAATGTCTATAATGCCCACATTTTTTTCCTAGTAAAGACATCGCTCTTTCTCATTCCATCTCAAACATTAACGCTTTGTTTCCCTTTCTGGCGCCTGACAACATTTCCGGACAACATTTCCGGTGAAGTTGTTTTGCGGCTGACTGGTTCGTCTTTGTTCTTCACTAGTTCTCTAACCCGTGTGTTGCACGGTCATTAGTTTGGCATAGTGTTGCATGGTCATTAGTTTGGCATAGTAATTGTAAAACTATATTTTAAATTTATATTGAAAATAAAGACAACAAACTGAAATTATTTCAAATATAAGCATTAAAAGTATTACATAGAAATATTTTGGAATGCATAGCAAGAACAAAAAAAGCCTACATTAAATGTTTTGAAAGACTTCCTTGTACACTACATTTCTTGTGTTATTTGAAGGTTGTAGGTAATCATTACAAATCAAAACCTTCAAACCACGTCTATTAGTCACTCGAGAGACAGCAACGTATAGTTGGCCGTGACTGAAAACCGGTTTCTTGAGCAACAATCCCACGTGCTTCAACGATTGACCTTGACTCTTGTTAATTGTCATTGCGTAGGAAGTCATAATAGGGAACTGCTTCCCACGTACACGTTACTATTAATCAAGTAAAAAATTAATATCACTTTAAAAAAATATAAGTAAAATTTCAAAACAAAAAAGACGTTTGTGCTAAACGTAATGTCCAAATTCTTACACAATCTTATTTTTGAAAAAATTAATAACTTTTCAATCTTACTCCAATTATGTATAATTGGTAAATTAAACACCTTTAAGAAAAATATTGAATTTTATGTTGAAAATCATAATATTTTAAGGTAACATCAACCCAAACATTAGCCCAATCCCAAAAAAATATACCCAACCCAATTTAAAAAAAAGGACCCGGCCCAACCCTTTGTTATTTTCCCAAACCCTGGCCGCCGCCCCCTCATCTTCCATTCGATCTCTCTCTCTCTACATTCCATGGTTTTTCCGATTTGTTTTTCTATCGCATATGTTCTATTCTATGAATTTCCAGATGCTATGATGCTACACTTCGGATTCTCTCGCTGGGTATGTTTTTAATTATTTTATTCCATCTTCTTCGATTTTTGGAAATCTCAATTTCAATCAAAATTAAATATTTATTTTTCTTTAAATCATTTACCGAATCTGGAGCATGTATGTGTATATATCTGAAATCTGTTTTGATTTAACCATCCTCTTCGATTTTTGAAGATCTAAAAATCATCCAAAATTAAATATTCATTTCTCTTCAATGGATTTGAATGATCTATAATATGCATGTCTTTTTCTTGAAATTTTGGTCGGATTCCACCATTTTCTTCTCTGTTTGAAGATCTAATTTCAAACAAAATTAAATATTTACTTTTCTTTAAAAGAAACATCATTTTTTTTGAAATTTGGGCCGGATATCACAATTTCATTCGATTTTTGAAGAGCTCTTATGTATCACAAAATTAAATATTTTTCTTTAAATGAACTTAGGGATTTGGAATATGCATGTATTTTTTTCTAAAATATGCTTCGGGTTGTACCTTTATTAGCACTGAAAATATATATTTAATTTATTAAAATATATATTTCATTTAAAAATTCCAGCTTCTTTATTCTCGGAAAAATATATTCTAATCTTCAAAGTAACACGTCATAATCAGTTTATTTTTTTAACATTATACATTTTCAATTGATTTTTCTACTCACGTATGATTTAGTAATCTTTGAAAATGATTTTTTTAGTATTATATATTTTGAACTAATTTTATTTTTAAAATTTACACCCACCCATATCTATCGGTGATATCAAACAAAGGAACAGAGAGTGGGTCGATGGAGAATAATGTGTATTGAAAGGTAATCTTTATTTAATCAGATCTCTTTATGTGATTTATATGCAAGACCTAAGCAATCCATATAAGAAGTCTAATTTTTTCTTCGTATTATGAGGTCAATTGATGCTGTTTGGAGAGGACACGAAGTATTTGGGCTACCACCACAACATAACAAATGGTAATATATTTTATGCTCTGAATTTTACAGTTTGATTCATATTTTAACTCTAACATGTTAATATGATTAAGAGTTTAGATATATACTACTCAAAGATTAAAACAAATAAAATAAAATATTTTCAAAAATAATCTCGTTAACTTAAAATCAGTAGACTATAACTTCTTTTAAATAGCTATAGTTTTTTTATGATTACCTCCATAACAATCATCACTTGGCTTGGGCCTCTTCGACCCAATTCTCTCATTTTTTGTTAGTTTCCTCATCTTTGACATCCAAGACACCTTTTACTTCAAAATCTTCAATGAAGGTGAAAGTGGTTGGGAGGGGTAGGGGTTAGGACAACATCAAAGAGGGTTGTTGTGTGAGAATTATTAAGGAAGGTTTAAATACAATTTAATTGATACTTAAAAAGACAATGTCTTAAATGATTCACTCCTTTAATGTAGAGACGGCACTAACCTCTTTACATTCTCGAGTTATTCCATAATTAAAGGGTGTCTTGGGTTTGTGGCTCAATTTAAAAAATGAAGCATTAATGGTCTCCATAAATTTTTGCATTATATTTTCTCCATATTATTTTATTTCTTGGATAAAATAAATTATTCAATCATTTTATTTTCTATACACACACACACACACACACATACACACACACACATATTTATTTTATATATAATATTTTTGCACTAAAACTATATTTACGTTAAAATTAAGTTGGATTTGCTTTCAAACTTACTATTACTTTTACTTTAAATATCAAGGTTTGTTAAATATAATTTCATAAAATGTGGATTTGCTCTAAAATTTACTATTAATTTAACGTAAAAATTAGTTTTTAATTTTAAAAACTGACTAAAATTTTAAAAACATCATAAGCCATACAATATAATTTTGTTTCTCATATAAAATATATTATTCAATTAATTTTTTGAAATAATTTTTACATAGATATATACATATATGCAACGTGTCAATTCACATTCCAATGCACTCAATTGCATCCTCATACGTAAGGTGTTTCTCAATTTAATTTTTTTTATCTTCTCAACACAATTAGATTTAACATACTCATCATCTTCTATGGTCACGTCAATGAGCTTCTCCTCTTTGATCGGAGTAACGTGTGTTCTTACCCTCGAACAACCAACAATTTTTCGGAGAACATCTACAAAATATAAATTAAAGACTTTGTTATTAATTCATGTCTATAAAATGTTTTTTTTTTACAAAATTTTCAATTAAGTACATACCTAGCAAGAATGGGTCTTCATTCTTCGGTGTTCTACGGGCGCGGTCAAAAGGTTGCAAGTTGTACATAAACTCAGGAAAGCCATTTTTGGACATGGTCTTGACCTCACTATGAATGTAGATGGCTAACAAAAATTCATGCCTTGTTGTTTTCACATTTTGAAAGTTATCATAGATCATGAAATTTCTTATTCCATAGACACCGCCTTCTACAATTTGTTTTTTGTATTTTTTGTTGTATGGTTTTTTGATATGACAATGAATTCGAGTTCCCTATAATCACCAAAACATTATATCAAGGATTAAGATTTTTTGTTAACGTTATTCATTTGTTGCACGAATAAAAAACGTAGCAAAAAAAAACTGGAATAATTGTCATAGTAAAAGATCAAATACCTCTTCATCATGAAACATAACTTCCATGAATTCAACATTTCGTCCATAAGGTTCAACATGGTAGACACGTATAGCTCGTACATGAATAGCAATATTTTTTTGATCACTTTTGAGGTCTCTGAGATTGGTAAATAGTCCCGGAAAAACGCATTTGGGAGCCATTTTATTTGACAATATTAAACTGAAATTTTTGAAGAAGAAGGTGTAGGTTTGCAAAATGAATTGCTAAAGAAGGCATTATATATAAGTTTGTATGGAGGGAAGAAATAATTCAATTTTTTTCTTGGAAAAAAGGCCAATTAATTTTTTCCTTTTTTCGAGTGTATACGGCGCCCAACTCTTTTTTTGACTCTTGAATACTAAGAGGTGCCTAAGCATTTAATTTGGGTGTTTTTAAAACACACAAATTCGTTTTTCAAAGTGGTTGAATACGAAGAGCCTAATAAATTCGGACATTAATTTGCATGATCTCAATTTTCTCGTGTTCCAAAGCAAACTTTTTAGTTTTCCAAAGCATTAATTCGAATTGGATACCAATTGATACACCCAAACACGAATTGGTCATTTATCTCTCTCACAAAATTTGGATACCCAATTATTACTCCCATACCCGAACGCCCAATCCGAACCCAGTTACTTAGGCGGGAAAATGCACTGTTCATTTTTCCCCTTCACCTTTGTATATTAGTAGATGGTAGGTGTATTTTATTTTTACTAGAACTTGATGAATTTGGGAATTGGATTTAGGGTTTGTATTGTACGTAATTTCGTTCGATTTTACATAGATTGAATGAAGGGATTGTGTTAGATTCACTTGGATTCATCAATTCTTTATGAAATAGAGTAATGGTAGTAACTGGACATGATGTTGTATTTATTGGCTTTGAAATTCTAGAAATTTTGAATTTCTTTTTTATGATTCGGGCTCCAACAGGTTTTTTTGTATATGTGAAAGACAAATGCATTGTCATAGACAATATTGACTTGGATATGTATTTTACAAAGGATTTGTATTCGGATGTCATTGCAAAAGCTAAAGAACAGTATGTTAGTTTTCAATTTATATATTTTTAAAAAAATTCAGAGAGAGTCATTAATTTCTGATTCGGATTGGGTTAAGATGATTAAGCATTGGATTGATACCCCTTCTACTTACATCCCCTTATACATAGTTGAATTACAAGACCCTAATATATTACAAACTATGGCTGAGTGTATTGATTTCAATGCCCAAACTGGTAATGGGGCTGGCATGAGTGAACTTGATGAATGGGCTGACAATTTGCTTGTAACTCCAATTGAAAATAGTAATAACACTCCAATTATGAAGACAGGACTTGTAAGAGGACTAAGTTAGTTGTTAGAAGAGAATCAATTAGGTCTTTTGAGGTGCAGCCCCAACCCTCCTTCATTGATCCTGAGAGTATACCTGTCCGTACAGAATGCAGCCTCACCTCACCCCTTCATTAACTCTTACTCAAAAATATTCTTCCAGGACAGAACCTGATAATAATGGCAAAGATAATGTTCATGATGGTAGGGGACATAAGAAGTTGAAGAGGAGTAAAAAGAGGAGTGTTGTGGATGGAGGAATCCAACAATTTGAGATAACTCAATTGAGTGCCAAACTCTTGGCTAAGGAGTTGAAAGGCCTTGAAGCATATGATATTCCCACATTGAGTGAACCCTACATTCCTCCCCTAGATACATTTTTTGAAGAGATTGTGGATCTTAATCAATATGGATGCGATGAGGTAGTCAGTAATGGCTCAAAGGGGTGTATTGAAGATGATGATGAAGAAAGTGATTATGAAGATAGTGAGGAAGAGAGTGGACACTCTTGGATGATCAAATCTTTTACTGATGGACATGTTTGTGCAGTAAAAGAGCATCACAAGAGGGCCGAGGCAGCTTGGGTTGCAAGCCATATGCTCAAGGAGTTTAGAAGTAATAGGGAAATGAATGCTGACACTGTCCAAAAGCGAATGTTGACTAAATTTAACACATATATTCGTAATTACACTTGTTGGAGAACCCTGAAGCTCATGAGGAATATGGTTGAAGGAAGAGACGAGGATGGTTACAAGCTTTTACCTCAATACTTGGAGGTCTTTAAGGATAGAAATCCAGACTCTTTTTGCTTCATAAGGTGGGAGGAAATAGGTCCTGGTAGAAATCCAATTTTCAGAAGATGCCAAATCGGTATTGGCTCAGCAATCACATCATTTAAGCAGTATTGTAGGCCATTAATTGGTATCAATGCGTGTCATTTAATGGGTCCTTACCAAGGTATACTTTTAACTGCTATGGCATTGGATGGGAATAATGGCCAATTTCCATTGGCATATGGTGTAGCAGATCACGAGGATGAGACAGAGTGGTGTTTTTTTCCTGAATGGACTAGCAGATGCCCTAGGATGCCTTGAGGACGCATCTAAATACACTATAATATCAGACAGGCATCAGGTAAATGTTAGTGTTATTATGGTTTATTGTAAAAACCTTTACAAATGTACTTATGCAAACTGTTTTTTATAGGCCATAGTTACAGGGCTACACAATGTTCTTCCAAAGGCTTCTAGAAGGATATGTGTGCTGCACTTTTATAAGAACTTTGCCTCAAAGTTTTCAGGTACACTATTTTATTCGTTATCTTCATATAAAGAAGCTTTTATAAAAGATTGTTTTAATGACATACTCTTATTTTCATTTATAGGAGCATGGTTCCATTCTTTCTTCTACATTGTGGCCAACACTTTCTCAGAATATGCCTTCAACAGAGCCATGGACAAAATTAAAGAGGAGGATGCAGAAGCATATGAGTGGCTTATGAAAAATGAGCCACATGAACATTGGGCCAGGCATAAATTTAATCCAAGCTTGAAGTGTGAAGATAACACCAATAACTTTGTGGAGTCCTTCAACAAGGCAATTGTAGCACATAGGGCCAAGCAAATTCTGCAAATGTTAGAGGAAATTAGAAAACTAGTTGGGAATAGAATCTAGGCGTCGCGGCGCCCTCCGGATCTCGCCTTGATGATTGGACTCGCCTAATTTTCAATTCCTCGCCTAGTCGTTGGTTTTCCGACGACTAGGCGTCCTGGCGCAGCGCCTTTGTCGACTAACGCCGTAAACATGGTAGTCAAATTCCAGAACTGGATCTTCTAATTCTATATCCCAGATCGACTTAGGGTTTGCTGCGAAGAAGACCGTACGATCCTAGATCTTCTCCGATCAGATGCGAGAGAGTCGAGGGTTAACATTCGAGAGACACCCGACCCGACCCGACCCTTTAATTTCGACGGAATTCCCAGCGGCTAGCACTATTCCCTTAGGACTTTAACTTTTTTTTTCCGGCTGTTCAGCTTCTCTTAATTCCCCAGCGACTAGCACGCCCTATTTTCCTTTAAAATTAACCTTTTACCATGTATTTTCTTTAATTAAAAGATAAAAGATGTCTTCTACAAGTGTTTTTTATATTTTCTATTTTTGAAAAAACATATATATAATATAATACTCCGTAAAATAAAATATAATATAATATAATATAATTTTATATATATATATGTATGTATGTGTGTGTGTATATATATGTGTGTGTGTGTGTGTGTGTGTGTGTGTAATTTGTCGCCTAATCGTCGCCTAGGCGCTCGCCTAGGAGTCTAGGCGTCATGGCGATACCTTGGCGCCGTGATAACTATGGAATAGATTTGAAAAAAGATTTAGAATGGGTAGTAGCTGGTCTAGTGTAGTTACACCATATGTTGACAAAAAACTTAGGAAGATTTCAATGGAGTCCCGAGTTTGTTTAGAGGTTGTTGCAGCAGGAAGAGGAGAATTTGATGTTCTAGATGGGACCACAAACTTCACAGTAAGACTGAGAGACCATAGTTGTGATTGTAACAAGTGGCAAGTGTCCGGCCTTCCCTGTAAGCATGCCGCAAGATGTATCCTTAGAATTAATGAGAACTTAGAAGATTATTGTTCACCTTTGTTGTTAGTAGGTAATTTGTTGGGCCGTGTTCCTTGGACCACACAGCAAGAGGAGAGCAAATCCCATTCTAAGTGGGATTGCTCTTGATTTGTTTCCTAGTTGATAATTATTGATTTGTTTCCTTGTAGGAGTTGAATTCCTTTTCTGTTTTGGTCTTTATTCTCTCCTATAAATAAAGGAGAAACCCCTTGTAATTAGGAAGAACAATTCAATATACAGAATATTTTCCCTCTTATTATTTTCTACATGGTATCAGAGCAAGATTCCTAGGGAAAACCCCAATCTAGACAAACGACGGTCCATCACTGTCCGCCGCTTGCCGGATCACTGACATCGACCGCTGGAATATCCTCCTCGACCGTCGACATGGCAGAAGTAGAAGAAAATCTCGTCGGCAAGCTCTTCGATGAGGAAGAGAAGATCCCTACGAAGGGAAGTTCTTACGAACGCAGACACACCTGGATTAATTATCACCCAAGTCAAACTAAACGGTGATAATTATGAAGAATTGGCTCGTGCAATGAGAATTGCATTCCGTGCAAAACGGAAAATTGGATTCATCGACGGATCCATCCCTTGTCCAGAAGAGGAAGATGAAAACTATGAAGAATGGTGGATTGTGAATGCCATGTTGGTCTCATGGATTTACAACACAATTGATGGCAGCCTGAGAAACTCCATCACACATGTAGAAGAAGCAGTAGAACTATGGAAGGATATCCAAGATTGTTTTTCTGTTGCAAACGGTCCTCGAATTCTTCAATTGAAGAAGGATTTTGCAAATTGCAAGCAAAACGGTCAGTCCATCGTTACGTACTTTGGAAAATTAAAAACCATATGGGACGAACTCGGCGATCATGAAAAAATCCCCGCTTGCAAGTGCCATGGATGCAAGTGTGGGATAAGCAAAGCGCTTGTCATCCAACGCGACAAAGAAAAGGTTCACCAATTTCTGATGGGATTGGATAACGAAGGATATGGGAGTCTACGATCTAACATCATCGCCACAGAACCCTTGCCANGCAAAACGGTCAGTCCATCGTTACGTACTTTGGAAAATTAAAAACCATATGGGACGAACTCGGCGATCATGAAAAAATCCCCGCTTGCAAGTGCCATGGATGCAAGTGTGGGATAAGCAAAGCGCTTGTCATCCAACGCGACAAAGAAAAGGTTCACCAATTTCTGATGGGATTGGATAACGAAGGATATGGGAGTCTACGATCTAACATCATCGCCACAGAACCCTTGCCACCACTGAATCGCGTGTACTCCACCATCATCCAGCACGAAGGGGTCTTGAAGACTACTCAAGAAGAGGAACGTAACCCGGTGGGCTTTGTCGTCACCTCTAAATTTGACCGTGACGCAACTAAAGATTTAAAATGCAAACATTGTGGGCTGAGTGGACACGAGAAGAGTGGTTGCTTTCAACTCGTTGGATATCCAGAATGGTGGGGAGATCGCCCACGTGTTCTGAACCCGGGACGAGGTAATGGCCGCGGCAACAACACAGGGGGACGGCGCGGCGGCAGGGGGGGCAACGCCGGCCGAGGTAACTGCGGCGGAGCTGGTGGCGGTCCAGCAGGCGGACCGGCGACACACACGGCTCAGGCCAACGCAACAGATGGGGGGCGTGCGCTCCATCAACCGAATCTACCTTCTCTCACAACCAATCAATGGAATGCACTTATGGGACTCTTAAACGAGAAGGATTCGGGTATGGAAAGTAAATTTTCAGGTATGACTAATACTTCTTGGATCATTGATAGTGGAGCCAGTCAACATATGACCGGTGATAAGAAGTGCCTTGAAAATTTGGAAGCAATAAAACCTTGCTCAGTTGGCCTACTAAATGGAGATTGTGCGATAGCCAACCAAAAGGGGAGTGTGGTTGTGGATAATTTGATCACCTTAGAAAATGTTTTGCTAGTTCCTCAACTCAATTGCAATCTTATATCTGTCTCACAACTTCTTGAGAAAAAGAATTTAATTGTCAAGTTTAATAATAAAATTTGTATTATACAGACTATATCTCGAAGATGGTGATTGGAATGGGTGAGCAGGCTGAAGGACTATATTATCTCAAGAAAGGTGTGAAGGACAAAGTCTGCACTGTGAAGGAGGCGAAGGATCTGGACATTTGGCACAAGCGCTTGGGTCATCCCTCCTACACCACTGTCAACACTTTTCTCCATTTACCCAAAAATACCAATATCCCTGATTCCCCTTGTGATGTGTGTTTTCGTTCAAAACAATGTCGTGACTCTTTTCCAATCAGTTTGAATAAATCTATTACTCCTTTTTCCTTGATTCATTGTGATTTATGGGGTGGGTACCGTACTCCGTCTCGCACTGGGGCTAGATATTTCTTAACTATTGTTGATGATTTCTCTCGGGCAACATGGGTGTATCTATTTAATCACAAATATGAAGCTCCTATTGTCTTGCGTAATTTTTTTTTCATGATTGAGCGACAATTCAATAAACAAGTGAAAACTGTACGAAGTGACAATGGTACAGAGTTCATTTGTTTAAAATCTTTCTTTGACAATCATGGGATTATTTTTGAATCCTCTTGCGTCGGTACCCCACAACAAAATGGTCGAGTCGAACGAAAACACCGTCACATTCTCAACATTGCCAGAGCCCTTCGCTTCCAAGCCAACCTACCCCTTAGATTCTGGGGTGATTGTATTCTCACCGCTGCCTATCTAATTAACCGAACACCCTCTGAGCTACACAAAGGCAAAACCCCATATTCCATGATCTATGAAAAAACCCCCTCATATAGTCATATTCGGGTTTTCGGATGCCTTGCCTATACCCACAATCAATCCCACCATGGAGACAAATTTGAGTCCCGTTCTCGATGCTGCATTTTCCTTGGCTATCCATTCGGCCAAAAAGGATGGCGCCTTCTCGATTTGGACAATAATAAAATATTTGTCAGTCCAGATGTCAAGTTCTTTGAAAACCATTTTCCCTTCCACTCACAAAATACCCCCAATCTCACTGAACCTGAACCCACTGCAGATTTTTTTGAGGAAGAAATACCCAGTGAAGAATCTGCCACCGAAACGGTCGACAAGATCGACCGCCCGGCAACCCACGTTCGACCGTCTCCCTATGGACCTGACACTGCTACCCAGACGGTCGAAACACTGGACCGTTCTAAGGACCCCGGTCGACCGTTGCTCCAATCCGATCCAGAAAACCCTGCAACATCAGAACCAAACAGCCAACCCAATGACCCAGTCCAACCTTCTTCTGCCCTTGATAACCAAACCCTTCCAACCCAAGACACTTTGCGCCGAAGTGAAAGAGAACGTCATCCTCCCTCGCGACTGCGTGACTTTGTCACTCACACCATTCAACGTCCCTCTCCTGATTCACTCAAACCAACAACGCCTTCAGGTACAGCACACTGTATTACAAATTTTATTAACGCTGACAAATTTTCTGTTTCCCATAGATGTTTTTTGGCAGCTATAAGTGCAGATGTTGAGCCTACATTCTTTTCTGAGGCGGTCAAAAACCCGCTATGGGTACAAGCTATGAAAGAAGAAATTCAAGCATTGGAAGCTAATGGAACTTGGTCACTCGTCCCCCTACCTCCTGGAAAGAAAACAATCNCTCCTGATTCACTCAAACCAACAACGCCTTCAGGTACAGCACACTGTATTACAAATTTTATTAACGCTGACAAATTTTCTGTTTCCCATAGATGTTTTTTGGCAGCTATAAGTGCAGATGTTGAGCCTACATTCTTTTCTGAGGCGGTCAAAAACCCGCTATGGGTACAAGCTATGAAAGAAGAAATTCAAGCATTGGAAGCTAATGGAACTTGGTCACTCGTCCCCCTACCTCCTGGAAAGAAAACAATCGGATCCAAGTGGGTCTATAAAATCAAGCACAAGTCTGATGGAAGTATTGAACGCTACAAAGCTCGTTTGGTGGTGCTTGGGAACCGACAGAAAGAGGGCATCGATTTTAAAGAGACTTTTGCCCCGACGGCTAAGTTGGTTACTGTTCGCACTCTTAGCTGTTGCCGCTGCCCGCAACTGGTTCCTACATCAGATGGACGTTCACAACGCATTTTTGCATGGA